GAATCTCAGATTACAAATTTTCCCCTCTTAGTTTAAAGAATGTAGTAAACACATAAATAAATAGAAGGCTTAGAGCATTTTGAGCTGAATTTTCCCTTTGTTTTGAGATTTTTAATGTTATTGAAAAAACACAAGATAAAACAAGATGAGAGGTTTAAATGTTATTTAATTTCATTCTAAAACAAATAACGAAATACATGTTTGTTACTTTTATAAACGAAATGACTTCGAAAGCGACAGCTTTTGTATAAAAAAATAATGCAATACGCATTGAGGTTCAATATCTTTGGAAGGTGAAAATGTATTTCCAGACTTTTTGATCGCAAATAATTGCAAAATTGCACAATTCCTGATCATTAAATCAGAATTCCACATGCAAATAAATTAAACTCTTAATGAACTGAAGTTATTTTGTCGTGTGAAAGCTTTGTATCTTCTTGTTACTAAGCAACTGTTTACTGAACTTCTTATCATTTTGGATTTTGGGCTTTAGATAGTTTAATTTAATTATCTTTATTAATTTTTCAAACGGTAAAATTTAAAAATAGCACTATGAGTCTGTACGTTTTTATTACTTATATTTTCAAAATTTGTGTTCTATGTTTTCTCATTTTTTTTTTTTTTACATTTAATTTTTAGAAGTTATTTGTAACTGCAAAGAGTGCTCATGTTATGTAATGCATGTAGATGGGGAAAACTTTGATTGCGAAAATAATAAACAATTTATGTTATTCACTGCTTTTAGTTTACCGAAAAGTTTGCATTCTTCAGAAAGTGAATATATACTTAGTGTTTTCCTGGATATTTTTCTGAAAACATTACTGCGCATTGGCTTCCAAAAGTTTAAAGTTCAACCGAAAACTAGAAATTCTGGAAAGGTGCGGTTCTCTTAGTTATATTTAAATGGTTGAAAGTCGCTGCGGATGCAGATGGCAATACACAAATATCATATGTTACAGCAAATTTACGACTTTACTGTCCGAGTATATGTTTATAACTTTGGTGGGAAAATGTTTGATGATGTTCTGTTTTATATGGCTAAAGGAAAGAGAATGGTAGATAATGAGCGCTGGCAAGCTGTCACACGCATTAAAGCAAGGCAATCAAAAATGCTGCTCTTTTCTTCCTTTCGCGTTAATCATCCGGTAAATTCTCGAATGCGAAAACGATACTAAACCACTCAAACAATTATCAGGAGGTATGTACCCGGTTGACCAATAATTACCACACCTTTTGAAGATGGGTGTATTGCTATAGTAGCCAAAGAAAATCGATAAAACAGTAGTCCGGAGAATATACCCGGTCAACCATGGATTACCACACCATCTGGGGATGGGTATATTGCTAGAGTAGCCAGAGGAAATCGAAAAGTGACCTTCACAGCTGTTACATCCAAGGTTGCAACATCACGTGGCCCTTCAATATCTGCTAGTACAGTGCGGTGAAGTCTTCACGTGAAGGGGGCACTCTACGCCCCAGTACTAAGTGTATGTAATACCCTAACTGTCCAATCCAGAGAGGCAAGATTAAAGTGGTGTCGCCAACATCTCAATTGGACTGGTGCAAATTTCTACTCACAGACGAGTCCAGATTTTCCCTAGAATCCGACAATAAGCGTTTAAGGATCTGAAAGAAACAAGATACTTGGAATTAAGCCTAGAACGTCATCGAATATTACACATTTCATGGTGAGGGTGGGCGTTTTAATTTGATATTGCATTCAGCTTTTTATCTTTAAAGACGGTTCTGTGAGGTCTGAGCGGTATCGAATGAAGTCCTACGCCCTAATTTTCTCCTTACGAATGAGAATGCCTTTCTCCATCGAGCCAACGTCGTGAACTTGTACGTGGAGAATGAAGGTTTTCTCATATGGAATGGTCGCAGTATTCTTCAGAAGTTAAAACTCTAAAAATATTTTCGATGCCATCAGGGGCGCTTGCTGTCTCTGAATATTTACCTTCACCAGCCAATCTCAGACAATTGGAAAGTGCCCTAATGGAAAAATAGCCATCTATGATGGCTGTAAGCTATGTGACCATCCCGGACCTTCAAGCAACCTTCACAGAGACTGCCGATTCAGTGACGTCACAGGACAGGACAGGAACAAGTAGGGGACCTGATTACGGTAAACATAGGACTGTGACGTCACTGAATCGGCAGCATGAACCTTATAAGAAATAGACTAACCCAAACGGGTTTGCTCCCTTGTCTGAGGCGTTGCCGGCTGTCACCTTGATCACATCCGGAGGAGTAGGGAAGACTTGCAAAAATTTACCATTGGTTGCCTATTGCAGCGTGTATAATTGTCAAGAAAAAGCTGGTTGTAACGTCTCATTTCACAAATTAGAATTTCTCCATATTTTTATTTTTGAAATATATTTGAGATTTGCAAGGATATAAATATATTTGAGATTGATTTTTAAAAATTTAGTATATTTATCAAGCATAATTAACGTTTCAAATAATTATAAAGCATGCATTCAGGACTGGATTTTTTTTTTTTTTTTTTTTTTTTTTTTTTTTTTTTTTTTTTTTAAGCTTTTCCTATGCTGTAAGGAAATTTATAACTACTACTTTTAGAAAATAATATTTTAAATCTGAACTAATAGAAAATTTCAAACAAGCAGTTTTATCTTGCAATTTTTATGCTTTTTATTGGTGTAAATAAGTAAAAAATACTAAAATATTTAAAAACGAATTTTTGAAAGTTTTGTTTAAAATTCTAAATTGTGCTGCGTTTTTAAAATTATAGATGAGTATTATAGCACAATTTCTATAAAGGAATTTTATTTCAATTATATTTCATAATACATCAGAGTGGTAGACTTTTGACTCCTTAAAAATTTTTATACATTTAATTCTAATATTAAAATTGTATTTAACCGTAATAATTAATTTTGCTTGTATTTTATAGTGATTATTTTTTTATTTATTTTTAGTTCTGTATAAGATTTTTTTTATTTACTGTTAATTTAATTTATTAGCCCAAAGGGGCGGTAGCCTATAAAGACTGTTAGTTTCGAAGCGGCATTTTGCGCTGTTTTACTATAAATGTCCGTGTTTCCTTGCAAATTGTTGTTACCAAATATTATCGCCCTGTATTATATGTAAAGAAATTAAATAATGAAGAATCTGCATGAATACATGTATGTTTCTCGCACTGTGACAGTATCTAGAGCCATCAAATTTTTAATAATGTAATCCTCCACCCGAACATAGGCATCTAAACTGCCGAATTTCGGATTTGTTTTAATCTATTTCATATTTTGTAAAACTTTAACGAATTTTTGATTAACAAACTCAACGACTTCAGATCTAGCACTGTACAGAAAATAACAGTTTTATCTCCAGTGCGGAAATTCTAAAGATAAGCTGTTTTCAAATGTATGTGGTTTACGGGCGAAGAACATGATTTTCAATAAATATAGGTAACACACAAAACTTTAAAAAAAAAGAGAGCTTCTAGATTTTATTTTATCTTTTTTTTTTTTTTTCTTCATTACACTCAGAAAATTTTATGCTCCGAATTTTATCAATTATTAAAATAACTAATCCACTTTAATGTTAATAATTTAATGATCATATAATCAAATAAATATGATCGTTTTGTAATGTTATTATAGTTTAGAAAATCACTGCCTGAAAATGTTCATTAAATTTTAAAAAAATTATCAGATCTTGTTTAATTTTACCTTATTTATTTCAAAGCATCGCGTACTATCAACCTTATTTAATTTTACTTTATTTTTACGCAAAATTAAGTTCATAAATTTTGTGCTTAGAGTTGTTACCGTTTTACCAAAGTAAAGATGTTTGTACAAGAATTACGCGTGAAAAAAAAAATGCGCGAAATGCAGTAAAAAGTGCTCTAATGAAATACATTTAAATCCTATTTGGAAAAAAACTGTGGCTTTTATAATGTCATCACTATACAATGTATCACATTTAATAATTAAAAAGAGTTATGTGATACAAATACCATAGGTTTCAGTGTTAAAGTAAACCAGATCGTCCCTACTCTTTCTTACCGACATGTCGGTGACGCGCGCCCCGCCCACTGGGTTAGTCCATCTCTTATAAGGTCCATGAACGGCAGTTTGTTTGAAGATCCGCGATGGTCACATAACTTATTAACGTAAGTTTTGTTTGTTTGGCTTTCAGCTTTAAGCATCAGTTTTTAAAGAACTAAATATGTCATCGACATATAATTTACGAAAATTGAATATTGTTTTTCTTTTGTCACACAATGCTTGTTTTCGTTGAAACGCAAATACACTTGCTTTTTACGTATGCAGTTTGATGTTACTCAAAGCTTTACTTTTCTATTTTTGTTCACTTTGGATGAAACTTTTGCTGTTCCATTTTTGTTCGCGTAGTTAACTTTTGAAAGCTAGTGCATATGTCTACCTTGCCTAATTTGAAATGCGATGCTTTATTTTCAAGTGAACGTGAGCCTTGCAAGATGCATTCGAATGGTAGTTAGGATAAAACTATAACTTATTTTGACATCCTCCAACCAGAGCATGATAAATATAATTTCAGTAGAAACTTGAAAACAGACGATGTAACGTTTGTCTGTCGAGCGAAGCAATATTTTAAATTTCAGTTACTAGCCTATTTCGGTAACCAGTGTTTTCTACACGAATATTACCACCGTCATTAACTTCGAGTATGCCTAGAAATTGAAAAATAGATTTTGAACACTCTTTTGCGTAAAATTTTGCACTTGCATGCTTTGAAGACCGCCAATCACGGTTTTGTGTAAAATGCTAGCAAGTTATATGACTAGTTCTTTAAAAACTCAACTTAGTAAAACACACTTTAGGTTAAGTCAAATACTAAAAATGTCTCGCAGTTTAAATTATCCTCTATTTCATTAATGAAAAAAAGTATAACTTACAATTTATTTTAGTATGTTCAATGTAAATTATTTTCTAGTTTGTATATCTTTTATGTTCATTTATACTATTTCTTCATGAAATTAATGTTTACGTTTTCAGGAATGCAGTGTTATGGGTAGACAGACCTCTCGGTCTATGGATCGTTCAAGTAAGTAAACATTTCTTACGATTGATATTTATTTATTTATTTCGGCATCGAGTAACTTTGAATTTAGGACAGTTGAAATGTTACAGAAAAATGAACAACCAAAAGCAGTATAAAAAAGTTAATGCGTTTGCATTTGAAACTTTCTTTCCTTGGCTTTCGAAAGTGTAGTTGAGAAAATAGTTATTACCACTTATGAATGTCAAAGGAGCTACAGGCTTGATTTTAGCAACATATTTGGGTTCGAACTAACGAAGTAACACTCGAAAGCATCCTTTTACTTACTTAACTTAAACAATTTTATATAATAAATCTTACTTAATAGAACAACCTTCAAACTATCTTAATTACTCACTATGCTAAACATAACACAAAGAATTGGGTTAAGATCTATAATGAATTGGGTTAAGCTACGCAATGAATGATGAGTTGAGATTACTGAGCTCGTTACAATGATAACTTGAAATTTATATAGCAAAACGCAAACTGTAATCTTTTTTTAAGATTTTAAATATTTCCGATCATTTTATAACTATTTATTGTTTCAAGTTTATAATTAGGAATAATTAAATTTGTTTGAGAGACATATTCGTTTGAAAGGCATTTATCATATTCGGCGTATACATAAAAATTAATATAGTGTCCATTGTAAGACTAATCATTATTAAGACGTATTGAATCTTAAAATACTGAATATTTTCCCGGAAAATTTTCTCAGAAAGGAATGCAAATATGCTTTGCCTATCAGTATTCATTTTCAAGATTGGGGCACAACTGTGTTCTTAATAATAACTACAGCTGCAATGAAATTAAATTTGTAGTATCTTGTTGTTTACTCCTATGAAAAAACTTTAAACGATGCAAGAGGCAAAAATTTTTAAATTGGATATAAGGGGGAATTAATATGAGTAACGTTTAATTTGTTCCTAACAATTCAAATACTGTGATGAGTTTAAAAGTTTTTAAAAGCATGTCAAACTTAAGTCGAAGTTAAACGTCAAGTCATTCAAGTCGAAAACTGTTAAACTTCAAGACGAAGATCTGAAAGTGCTTAGATATGTCACGAATTCTGTGCCATTAAAAGAAGAGATATATCAAAACTTCATATTGATACTTTATAACAGCCTGTCCCTTGAAAAATAGCGTTAAGGTAAATTCAAAGCGAATCGTTATGAAATGGAGCTTCCCTAATGTTCGCCTAATGTTTGGATTATTGGAAGCTTTCTTTCCATTGCAATCCCCATATTTTAATTTTCACTGTCCAGGCACCAATAGAAGATCCTAATGCGCATCGAAATTCATCATTTTATTCTGACAATAAAAGCAAATTTACGATTTAGATAGCACTCTACAACTTTACGGTTCATTCTACCACTAAAATCGCGACAAAAATCACTTCTTTTTAAGAGGTATCCAAATACTTCAAATTATACATTGTTCTTTCCCGCGAAATATATCACATAAACTAATCATACTGTTATGAAATGTACAGGCGCGGTGAGATAGCTTTCCCGCAAAACAGGTTTAGGGTTGCCATAAAACAACGAGAGATGGCAGGCTTGCCACATTTGTTGACAAAAACTGGCGATATACCATGGACGAATGGAGAACCTTCTGGAACGAATTCTTAGCGGTTTAGCCCAGAATGTTCTCGAACGCAAGCCGAAAGCTGGATAAACCCTGCTGGTCCGCAGTCAGTGTGTGTGTCTCGTCTAGCGAGCTGATAGTCAGTCAGTGAGCGAGTGTCTCGAAGTCTTGCGCCGAGTTGGTCGTCGAGTGCATCGAAGAGTCTCTTAGTATATCGCGGTTAGTGCAACGTCGAGAGAGTGTGTTGAGCTCCGGGAACGACTGAACCGAAGAGTCGGGAGCTGTGTTCTGTGTGTCGTCGAGTGCATCGTGAGTTCTAGCGTGGAGAGTGTCGAGAGTACGCGGAGTTCCGAGAACGACCAAGCAGAGTCTGGAGCTGTACTCTAGTGCTTTGCAGTGAAGCTGTCTCCACCGTGATAGCCTGATAACCTGGAGGCTGTGTCGCTGATCGTGTCAGCGTGTTTATAGTAGTTCATCGACGACTGTAAAAACGTGTTTTGGAGCTGTCCTGACAATATTGGCTAATAAAGTGTGCTTCGATATTTCAGCAAGTGTCGTCGTTATTCACTCCAAATCTACACAAAAGCCGAAAGCTAAACACAAGCCGAAAGCTATATAAACCCTGCTGGTCCGCAGTCAGTCAGTGTGCTTCATCGAGAGGGCGGTGAGTGTGCCTCGTCTAGTTAGTATCGAGTTGGTGTCTCGTCTAGCGAGTCAATCTCTGCAGAGTCGATCGAGTTGACAGCCGGGCAGCGAGTGCCGAGTGGGTCGTCTAGTGCACCGAAAGAGTCTCCTAGTGTATCGCGGTTAGTGCATCGTCGAGAGAGCGTGTTGAGCTCCTGGAACGACTGAACCGAAGAGTCGGGAGCTGTGCTCTCTGTGTCGTCGAGTGCATCGTGAGTTCTAGCGTGGAGAGTGTCGAGAGTACGCGGAGTTCCGAGAACGACCAAGCAGAGTCTGGAGCTGTACTCTAGTGCTTTGCAGTGAAGCTGTTTCCACCGTAATAGCCTGATAACCTAGAGGGTGTGTCGCTGATCGTGTCAGGGTGTTTATTGTAGTTCATCGACGACTGTAAAAACGTGTTTCGGAGCTGTCCTGACAATATTGGCTAATAAAGTGTGCTTCGATATTTCATCAAGTGTCGTCGTTATTCACTCCAAATCTACACGAACACTTTACGAACATGAAGGAAGAAAATAACGTAACAACTGGTGTCAGAAGAAAAATACCATTAAGTTGAAAAGATCTTTGAGAATAAGTTTGCTGTAATTTCTTTTAATGCGTATCGCGCTTTTTTTTTTTTCTTAATTTAGTTCTTAAGCAGCAGACAGAGTAAATTTTGTTTTATAAGATTCGAACTGTAGCCTTTGTATTTTAAAGGAAGGAGATGTTTAAAAATGTTAGTTGGTCAGTTATTACTTCATCTGCTTATCCGAAAAGATATTTCTACGACGAAAGTTTTTAATGCAGCTTTAAAACACGATCACGGTTCAAAATTATTTCTTTCGTAAAGATAAAAGTTGACTTTAAATATTTTAAGAAAACAATGTAAACTACACAAGCAGAGTTTTCTGTCAGAAATTAGGTGAATATAATTCACGTGAAGTTTGCAGATTAGGAAACACGAATACATTAATAATCTGAGGATTAAAATGTCTACTTTGTTTACAAAGAAAGGTATTCAGTTAGCTTATTATCTTGAGCAAATTAAAGTTATATTTTCATGTTGATATACAGTTGTCGTTGAACGAAGAACAACTAAATCTATCCTATTTTCTGCTAGTATGAAGCATGAAAATCATCATAAAGAGGATATAGGAATTTTATGTGCACTATGTTTGCAATTATATATTGAGAAATATATGTAATATACTTTTTAATACATAATTAGTGTGTAGTGTGATAGGTTATTACAGAAAATGAAATTTTCTGCTATCCAAGAACAACAGAATTTTGCATTGTAAGAGTATGTGAAAATTATTGGTTTTAATTTTTTAACAGTTATTTTAATTTTAAATTCCCTTCCCTATCAATTCTTGTTTCCACTTACAACTCCCTACCACAATGAGGTTTTAGAATCGCTTTGAATGCAAATGAGTTAGAAGAAGTATTTAAGGAAGGTTCAACTTACTTCGTGAGAGAGAACTAGGAATCCTGAGTAGCGTGTGTTTGCTTTCGGGGTAAGTCTGTGCAGAAGCTATTACGCTCGGCCGTATTATTAAGTGCCTTTTGATATTCGCTACTTTAAATTAAGAGCCAACTACGTTAGATACTTGTCATCGGCTTCGGCTAAGTCTGTCTTAGTTAGTTATAGTTTAGTTCTTATTTCGTATTGAGTTTAAACTCGGGTAGAGGCTTTGTTGTAAGCCCGAGAAAGGGGCCGACTGTTATCTTACTTTTAGAGAAATAAAGGGTAGTTTAACTCTTCTTAAGTCTATACATTTAGTTATTTGAACTCGGCGATAAGTCGCTAAACAGTTGACTAGGTTCTTTAATGTTCATTTTAGACAAAAAGAGTGAGGAATCGTACAATGGTATGCATCATTGAGTAAACTGATTACTTCTAAGATGACGAAATGTTTATTGATTTTACCGATTTTCCAGTTTTTTGAACGGTCACACATTGTTTCTTGATAGAGATATTCCAAGAAATTTCCTCTGAAACAAAAACAGTATAAGGTATTTCTCCCGCCTTGGTGGTGTAGTGGTTCTGCACGCTGGGCCGGTATACCAGAGGTCATTCTGTCAATCTGTATTGTTCGCAAATGTGATAATATAAAGACCCACATGCAAATTAATAATTTCTTAGACTTAAAGTTCAAGTGTTTTTTAAAGCATCAGGTGAAGATGCTTAAAAATGGTTCACGTTACTTATGTTAAGTCAAAATAAATCGTATAAAAATGAACTTTTTTTTAGGAAATTAATTCAAAATCATGATAAACTAATATTGCATGCATTTCTGTCGTTTAAGCATCGTAGCTCTAAGCGTTTCATCAGTGTTAATTTTAGACACGTCCCTACCATCACATAAAATGAAAGTGATGGAATCACATTAAAAGTATTTACTGAGGCCCCATTAAAAATTTCACTTGATAAACAGAGATCATTGCTGACGTACGTGATAGCTAGAAAGTACTGACTTAATTTCATTTCCCGTATTTCATAAATGTTAGCTTAAGAAGCTGAGAAAAAAAGGAAAGACATACCTTGTCTGTTTCTTTTTCGAGCCTCATTTCTAGGAAAATCTATTTCAGACAGATTTAATATAATTCATTAATATAAAAGACTCACATGCAAATTTACCAAAGTGCAAGTTATATATCAAACGTAACAAGTACGAACAAATGTTTCGTTAATTTACTGCAACATTTTATTTTTCAGTCTGAAATATGAATATCTTCATTCTGATTTACTG